ACCTCGGCTATAGACAAACTAAAGTCAATACCAACAGATTACAATTTAAATCTTCCTGGTCAACTCTCAGCATTGGAGATGAAAAATGTAATAATGGAATATATACGCACTGTCACGTATACATGTAAGAATGAATCACGATTTGGAAAAACATTAGACGGCGGATGGGACGTTTGTATGGATGTCGGTATCAAACCTAATAGCTGCATTGTCTTCTCTGTGGGGTGAGACACTTTACTTATTCACACTCATAATACCAGTTGTCGATGGGTCTCTGACCTACATCAGCTAAATAAGTCGATCAACGTGGTCATATCTAGATAAGCTATACCTTCTATCTTTGAAAAATAAACACATTCATGTTCTTTGCTGTTGCTTAAGCGTTTAATATCGTCAACAATACGCGAGATAATAATTGCCTTAATATTTTTTAGCGCGATTAATTGTATTAACAAAAACCATGATCAATGGCAGCCTGTTGTTATATGTTAGTGATGGTAACCATGGAAATTGTGAACATAAGTGAATTTATTCATTAAGACAAACCAAAAGCCCAATATTTTGTTATTTCCTATTTATCAACGACTATCGCCGTTATGATATTGTATGGTCACTCAAGAGATAAACTCTATTTTCTAGATTATTACGTAACATTTTAAAGGGGGGAACCAACGCTAATGTTCCGATGTGTGCATTATTAATTTTAGCTTTAATTTAGAATGGGTAAATTAGAGTTAGTTTCAAAAATGCGTTCCTATTGTCTTAAAATAATATTAAGTGCGTAATGTCTATCAAAATCTCCTCTTCTTCGTACGTAGATTTTTATTTCGACATTTAATGAAAATGATGATTTTTATTTTAATTACTGTTTTTAAGATTGAAAGCGCGGTTTCGTATAATCTCTAAAACTTTTTACTGACATCTGATATGCTGTATTTTAGCTAATATGAATTATGTACATAGAGAGAAATTTCCAAAAGATCGGTAACTATTAATTAGTCTGCTGCAGACAATGTCTATATTTATTAAAGTTAACATAAGTCTGGTCTGAACATTCTACAATGTTTTCCTCATTATAGCATTAGCAACGATTGGTCTTTTGATGAAGATATTGCTGCATACGGGTGCAAAGTATACGCTTTTGATCCTACGTATGTATCTTACTTATTCCTTGTTTTTTATTGAGATTTAATTAAAATGATAACTACAGCTAAAATTGGGAACCCTGGGAAACGATTATTATAAAATATACAAACATAGAGCAACTTTGATTATCACATTGCATTTAATTGTGTTGTGCATCACGAATATAGTTAAACGTCTCTGACTGCTGACTCGTATAAACATTTAGTGTTATATTGATGATATGTGCGACAAACAACTACATTTTCAGATGACTGTTGAACTTGACATATTTCAGTTAAGACACGTAACAGCCAGTGGCGGATCCAGAGGGGGGCCAGGGGGGCCATGCCCCCCCCCCAAACGCATGATGATTCGTGTCATCTGGATTACGCATAGCTTCTCTCTTCTCTTTACACCGATCACTGAAAAGTTGGCACATTGTGTTTTATATGTTGCATTCATAATCTTGTCAATGTTATACACAAGCCGTGAACTATAGCTGGCAATCGACTAACACACTTATTGCTGAGCTCCCTAAAAATTGCAATTGCATCTGTACCAAAATCTACATCGCTTGTATAAAATTACCAACTTATCAAACAATGTCCAATGAAAAGCCGCCTGCTCACAAGCATCCGATTGCAAAGAATGCATAATTGTAATGAAATATTCTCTGACTGCTGGGTCATAGTGACCAATCTGCGTACTTCACGCTTCTAATGGGATGCAACTTTTAGATTTATCATTCCCTGTAATGATGTATATGTTATGGGTGATTTTGGAATTCTCGTGGAAATCTGAACTATGTTGTTGTTTTATTTTACACTAGGAAATATACAAAACAGTAATATAGTATATAGTATAAACAGTAATAATAATAATCCTAGTGAGGACCCCAGATATAGTTCATACAAACTAGTCTAGTCTGTAGTCCCATAATACTGGTGTGGTTAATTAAATACATATTTAATTTAAATATGCATCTGCTTTTGAATATTTTTTATGGAATCATCGTTTGAATGAGTTCCAGTTTTTGTTGCTGTATAGGTGATACTGTGTTGATTAATAGTAAGGTTCATTCTAAGAATATAATAATTTGATTTAGTAGCTTGACATGTTGCATAGTTATGAGGAAAGTAGTGGTCAACATTATTAGCAAACAAATTATTATTAAGATCAAAAACAAACAGACAGGTGAGGAACTTACTGAGTTTATAGATGTCTAAAATATTCAGGTTTTTATTAAATAGGAGGGCCGTGGGGCACAACAATCTGAAAATGTTATCAAGCGAACAATTTTTTTTTTTTTTTGGTATAGTAGAATTTTGTTAAGAAAGGTTTTGTAGGTGTTACTCCATATTTCAATACAGTAAGTAATATGTGGTAAAATGAGGGAGTTGTAAAGCAATATAAGAATAGATCGTGGGACAAAATAACGGATTTTAGACAGAATACCGATTTTAGGTGAAATAGTTTCACAAATTTGTTCTATGTGTTCTTTCTAATTTAATGTACTGTAGAATACTTTATTTTCGCTTAGAATTAATTTTCGCTGAAGGAATGATTCAGTGAAAATAAAATCCAGTGTTTTCTATTTTTTACACTCAACTTGTTAAAAATCAGTGAAAATAAATTCCATAGAAAACACTCAAAAAGTCTTTTACGCGAAAATTAATTCCAGCTAAAATAAGGTATTTTACAGTATTGTCAATCGCCACACCACAAAAAGTTGAGATTTTGTCCGATAACAATAAAACAGAATAACTGGTAAGCCCGGTGCATTTAATTTAATTTAATGCTGTCAATAAATGTCACTTGACATAGAACCACTATAACATATTTCGTTCCTCATTATAACCTATTGTGTTCACTAATATTTCTTTGTAATAAATGTAATACTAGTACTATTATATAATTATTGAGTGTATTTGAAAAATATCGCATCGTACGACGGTAAATTAGAACAGTTACGTGATCTATGGAGTTTGTTGTAAGTTTCCGATTAACCTGTTTAGTAGACAAGGGAATTATAACTTGACATGTTTGCTGAAGGCCATTATGTTTCAGATTGACTTAAATCAATGAATATGTACTTTTGAAAATATTGATTGATACAGAATATTAGAATTACCGCTAGGTCTAATGTGTTTTTACTTTCTTCCAAATTTAATTAGCGATTGTTCATCATTGGCACCTCTCCCTGAATAATAGTTGTGTCGTTAACGTTATTTTTAAAATGCCTACCTCCGTTAGCGATTTGTGTTATTTGTTTGTTTGTTAATTTTATATTTATTTATTTGATTCCATTATACCACATAACTGGTAATGATTGTTTGTATTGTGTCAATTCTTTGCGTGAGTCGATGAGTTGAAGAATACTTGTCACGTCAATATATACTGTACAATACTTTATTTTCGCTTGCAATTAATTTTCGCTATTTTCGCTTAAGGAATGATTCAATAAAAATAAAATCCAGCGAATATACATTTTTCCTATATTTTTTATTCAACTATCAAAAATCAGTGAAAATAAATTCCACACAAAACACCCAAGAAGCCTTTTTCAGCGAAAATTAATTCTAGTTAAAATAAAATATTTTACAGTAATGTGATCTGACTGAAAATTGTAATTACATGTACTGCCTTCATGAATGCACAGCTTGAAATTCTTGAATAAGCTACTGATCGCCCAGACCCATGACAGAGTAAACATTTATCAAATATACCAGCTATTAATGACGCAATGTAGTAAATACTTACATTATATCCACACAATATACTGAAAACTGATACACATAGCTTATCAGAGAAGAAAACTATTTAAATAGTCGTTGAACCATTTTGACGCAGCATGGACACTGATAAGACATAGATGGTAACATACAACAATATTTAGCATGTTCTCTGAACATTCTCGTGATATATATATATATATATATATAATAAGCCTCTCCAACTCTAGTTTTGGCTTGAGATCAGTTTCTTTCTTTCTGTTTTGTTTTTAACGTAAATATCATGGTCACTGATTGGCCTGTTCGGTATTCAAATGAAGTCTATTGTTTGTCTGATGTATTATCCGGTATCAAAATAGTCATATGACTTGTTCCTAAAGTCTACTTGCTGTGTGCGTGGCTACCACTTTGGTATTTTTGGCTGGACGGCCATTATGTGGTTTCGGGTACTGATCTGTGCCAATGCATGCAAACAATTGTGTTTTTATTGTTTCTGGGTTTGAATATTTGGATTGATTTTGTATCGCTGATCATTGCTGTGTGGCCAAATATGTTCCACGTCGAGTCAGACAAACGCACATCAGTATTTCGGGTTTTTCGGTAAGATGTGTTAAATACATGAGTTTATTGCGAAATATCTTCACAGAATTGGTTTAAACGACCAAAAACACTCGGACCGTGTTTGGTTCTACAATATTGGGTTATATGGAGAAAACGTTGACGACTTATTGATTCGCGGAAAACATTGGAAAGTTCGAACTTTGTCCGCAATGAGGAAAATGCTAAACCATGAACATGTAAGTAACACTGGGGGGGGGGGGAAGGGGTAATTTTAACACCATGACTAAAACTCATTTACATTCTACAAAGCTAGCAGGCTATCATTATCAATGCAAAATATGAACCAAGTCCGCGAAGCTCTGAAAATATATCGAAGTATATGTTAATACATATGCGAGCTAATCTAAATACATGTACTATGGTCTATTGTTACTGTGGTCTATCAATTCCCATTGATTGTATGTAACAGCCTGCTTTCATCCCGTTTGAGATTTTTTATTCAGTTTCTGAGGGCATTCTTAATGTATATCTTGAAATTAAAAACATTGTTAGTAATAAATAACAAATGTTCAAGTAGTGAATGCACTCTGTTTAATCATTTAGGACATTATTGATGTACTGAAGTTCGACATTGAAGATGGCGAATATCAAATATTTAATCAACTAATCGAGAGTGGTATTCTCCAGGACATAAAATTGGTGTCATTTGAACTTCACTTAGGTCATATGAAGATATTGGAAAACGCAGACACAGGTTTACTAATTTATCGTGCACTCAAAGTTGCATTTGAAAAGAATAACTTCAAGCTATGGAGATGGCATGAGAACGAATCAATGGCGAAACAACACCCAGAAAATGCTTATTGTTGGACTGAAGTTTATTGGATCAATATGAAATTTGTCAAAAATAAAAAATAAAGTGTACTTGACTGAACCGGCGAGAGAAGGATGGGATTGAATTTGCATATTTTTGCGTTATTTTCAGGTCTCGAGTAATATGGGGTACCTCGCAAATGCTTAATACAATTAATTAAAAACAAAACATGTGTTTACGATTTAGTAGGGTATAAGTCTATATTATGCTTGCTGTTGACGATGTATTACTCAACAAACATCGCGGAAAAGGAACATGTACGTGTTTCACTATCTGTATGGTGACACTTATTTGCAATATTTTCATAGCAAATGGCAAGTTCGGGACAACTAGCACTGGGATTTCAGGTGCATGAATGCTTCTGACTGGCCAGGGCTTGCTTGTGACCACCGTAATTCTAATCACCCACAGGGGTTGTGGCTCGGGGAATAACAAACTGTCCCTGCAATGTGTGTAGCTATCACTAAAATGAGTGAATAACTGAGCTATCATTCCTAGATACTCAAATTTGACCGCTGGCCACTGTTAAAAGCGTGTTCTCCCCAGTAGCAAACGCAATGTACTTAAATGAACGTAAGAATTTGCAGTTCAGGATTCAATTGGCAGATTCATAATACGGGCAATAAAAGGGAAAGTAACTGGTCATGAAAGAATTGAGATTCGTGCTGAGTTCATTCTAGGATTTTTGTAAGTTGAACAGAAAAAAATATCTCAAAAATGGTGGAGTCGAGAAAAAAATCATTACATTCTCCGGAGTCACAATTAAATCGTTGATTAGCTACTAGTTGATTCTTTATTCAAGAATTACTTTTAAAAACAAGTCATAGACTGTATTGATGCTGCATAATATATTAGACAGCTGTCAATAGACACCATTTCTTTCTATCGTGATTGAAGCCCTCTATAGTTGAGATCAGTTCCTTTATTTCCATTTAGTTTTTTGGCAACGTGCAAATCTGAGACTGCTGCATGCGAAGTTGGTATAGTTACATGGAAGTTCGGCAAATTTGCATTGTATTGACAGTCTTGGACCTATGATCTGTTGGGTTTAGTAGGTTGCAGATGCAAACATTACGGAATCAGGTATCTGCTCTCAGCCATGCTCCTGTAGATGCAATGAAGCCCTTGCTGAGTGCTAAATTGGTTGTTCCGGCACTGCTTGGAATCAGTTGGTTGACGTGCCACCACAGTGATCCCTACCGCGAGGAGAAGGACTGGAGGGGCGCACTTAGAACTCATGGTGGGGCCACCGTTCAAACTGTAAGTGAGGTGCTTGTTAATTGTTGCTTGTTCTATATCACATCTGACTAGTGACACATAAATCGGGTTTTGCCACACTACTAATTCTCCGCTCGTATCAACGCAATTCAACACATCATTTTACAAATTTTGCACACATCATTGCAGGCCTGCGAGGTGGTTGTACCAACTTTACATGCACCTTTGTAGATTTGCCACGTAACTTTACCAACTTTGTTGGCACATTTGAAAACTTTCCACGTAACTTTACCATCTTCATTCATTTGGCTTTCGCGATTTATTTTAGTCTGGATCTTTTGTTAACATATTTATTCAAAGTGAATAATGATGTGAAGCCAGTGGCTCGTACCCAAATATAAGACAAAGGTTTAACGTTCACTCAAGACCTGATCATGTAGGCGTGAGTAGGCCTTCGTCGGTCGAACGGCATCAGACCTCACTAACGCCTGCAGAATAGTGTATGTCTCATAGGTAAGATCAATACTGCGAAGTCGCAAAGTTCACGCCTTCTTGCAACAAGTTCAACGAATATTCATTTTGTTGGTCATGGTAACACCGTCGATTAAAGCCTTGTTTGTATGTTTGGCAAAAATCACAGACTATTTTCAGAAAGATGATAAACATAGCGCGGAAATAAACTCTGCTGAGAATGGTGACTCTTTGATGGCTGTTGCTATCTGGCGTTCCTGCGATTTGATTGGTACCGACAAAAAATCTTCGGGGGAAGTGAAAACCTACATCGTTCTGTCAGGCGTGTGTTGGGTTTGGGGAACCGTGGAGGGCGCAACTCACACGACCTCGTCAGGCTAATCAACTTCTTGTTGGTTTACAAGAAAAAAATTGAGGCTAGGGGCGAAATACTGTGCATAATAATAGTATCACCACAACACACCATTTTAACATTGTGTGTTTCTCGTAACTCAAAGTGTGGTTAATTAGTACATGCCTAATTAGTACATGCCTTCATCCGCCCGCCAATCAAACACACAGTTTAGAATAGGAACATCCGGAGATTTTTGCGTTTCAGTGAGCTATGTACGGACCGTCGTCAATAGCAACAGAGAGGTCCATAGATCAAAAAAATTCCCGGAACTACTTTCGTTTGCTTGGAGAACATTTTTAAAAAAAATAAAAAGGAAATTCATGATGATGTTAATATTCAATATTTTAATAAACGTTTGCAACCATACACAAATCCAATTTAACAACAATACATGTAAAAACAACTCACGTATGTTAAATCACCAAAATCAGTTGTATACGGGTTATTGACACTAGCTCAGAATGTCTTCGAAGGGCCGCAATTCTCCGGTATTCCGAGTTAGCCACTTGGTACAGCGACGGACATCACGTTCGGTGGTTTTAACGGTACTTTGCTTCTGGTGTGCTTTTATAAAACCGTCCACTTCGTCTGGTACTTCATTTTCTAGTGCTGGTCCAAGAATTTCATCAAGTTGGCCCTGTCTTATCGACCGCAACCACTGCATAATATCCATTTCGTCTGCTGCAGCCATTATCGTCTGCAGGTTGTCAAGGGAGCCGGTTAACAGGATGCGTAAACATATCCATACGCAGTGCCAAACTTATCGATTGACGCGATTGCATGCAAAACTTTGTTACTGGTTATAAAAAATGGCCCTTTTTACCAATATGAATTACCTTTAAACATAAGATATAAACCCTGTATTCTTTATGTTATTAAAGGCATGTAACACAAATATTATTGCCCGATTATGGGTGTTAGTGTCCTCGCGCAAGGAGATTATTTGCTTCCTGGCGTCAGGCAAATGATCACCTGCGGCTCGGGCAAAAACGCCCATATTCCGGCAGTAATATATGACTTTGAACGTTAAACAAATCAGCAAATATCTGATGCCCGTAACTCAAAGTTTTCTTAATATGCATCAATTAAACATCCAGTTAGTGGGATCGGCACAATATAAACGTGACCTTGATAATGGGATTGTGTTTTCCAGAGTGTTCAAATAAAAGAAGCTGACATTTTTGGACTAACGTTATTAATTGAAACACCAGACAACATTATTAGATGGATTACAAAGCAGACTATAGTTAATATGGGCAAATGATTTGCTTGAGCCATTGGTAAATTTATGGAATTGATTTTGCTGTGACAATGCATACATGTATGAACAATTATGTGAATATGGTGTTGTGTTATAGGAATTTGGTTATGTCATTGTAATCAAGAGGGTGGGGGTTAAAGTAGCATGACTAGTTGGAAAACAACCATATAAAGATAGTGTGAATAGAATAAACGTCTGTAATGAACAAGGAAATAATAAAGTTTTTATTTTTTATCTTAACCAACAATAAGCAACAAGTTTACAAAAAACATTTGAATAAGAATAAACTAACAATAATTGTCAAGTTTAACCAGTAGGAGATACAGGTGATGGTTGAATTATCTCGCCTGGAAGAAAATAAAAAAAACAAGTAAGTGATAAGGATTATACAAATGAATGATTTGATTTCCATTATTAAGTCTTGAGGCACATTGTAAATAATTGTCGAGAGGATACTGAAAACACTACCATGCATTCAAGCATCTTCTCAATGAAAGGTAACACAGATTATGCACATTTACATTATAATGAGGTAAATTAGTGTTGTAAACAGAGTATTATGATTAAATCTGGTATAATGCGCATGAAACGACTCATGGTGAATTCGAAAACGCGCTATTGGAAGACCCAAAAGACTATAAATGATCATAAATCATATCCACTAGCCACTAGTCATGGCTACATCTGAGGTCATCATTGTGCGAATGTCATTCTTGCAATTTCATTATTGCTGGCTGCCCTAATTTTGGCTTTAGATGCTAAATTGAGATGCATCGTGACAACGGTGGCCATGCAGGAAGGTAGGTTAGGTAGGTTAGTGTTTGTGATCTGCTATGAAAATTATTTAGTCAAAAATGTGGTCGCACCGTGCATGTGCACATCCCACAAAAAGTAACAAGTTCACAGGCCATAGGCCTTGTAAATCGCTGTCATCATTTATGTACGATGCAATATATGGCGATGACATGTTGCCGTGGCCGCAATGAGACGTCACGTTTATTTTTTGGCCATTAGATTCCCTGATTCATGACATCATGTGACAATAAATCCTGAAAATCGGCTTTGATAAGTTTAGTTCAAAGCACTGAATAATCAATATCATAGCATGGTGTGCAGAGTTGTTGAGAATATATTTAAATTTGTGGAGTCTGTACGGCGTCCTCGGCTGGCTGGCAAAATAAACCACGTCATCGAAACGTGTACGTGTACTGTAGACAATTTCCATGACGCTGCATTTTTGCGTGTCAATTTATCTCCACTTTTTTCAACAAGGAATTCACTTTCTCTCCTGAGAAACGTCGTCAATCTAATTTAATTAACTAAAACTTGGTTGATTTCTGGCACCTAAAATTGAATCCCGGGATCGTTGCGTTAATCATTGGGCTAGGTTTTGCAAAAGTGGGCGTGGTTTCAAAAATAGGGGCGTAGCCATCGGTGTAACTCGATGTTTTCGTAACAATTCAGCATCTCGTCTGATTTTCCTGCTCAAATACGACAAGCTAATTCGTTCATTTCAGGTGTAACATTATGTACCGGTCATGTGTAAATTATAAAATGAAATAACATATTTGCGTGAATGAATCTGTTATGTTTTCATTGTATATGTATATTAACCGCGGATACGCTGGAGATATTCATATAAACGAGCACTATCACTCCTCTTTTATAAACTATGATGGTGAGACCTTGAAAAATCTACAAATAATACCAATTCGCGATTCTTAT